AGCTCCATCTTGCTTCCTATTAGTTGTCAGATGCCCTTTTGGGGCATTCACAAGATGGAGCTTTACAGACACACTCTGATTCATCCTTATGTCATTTATTTGAATGAATTATAAAATACTCTAATAATATTTAGAAAAAGAATTTTACTTAGCATTGAATCAGCATTAAAGGAGTAATTAACTAAGAGAATTAGCAGTTCTATATTGATCTACTTTGCTACTCAGTTAAATTACTTGCTAAGTCTCATTTTATGTATGTCCTTCTATTTATGTTGTAACTGTCAATGAAAGCCTACTGAACGATATGCCTGTATTATCAATAAAGGTATACTAGCATCACATCTTTCAGCTTTGCAGACACCAACCTGTCCTCCAAGAGCCCCTTTAACTGGCTAAAATGTGTGCTTTCATCTTTCAAATCCTATTGCATCTTTCTTCCTGAGTAGCTGGTTTCACAATAATGAGAAACACTTTTACATAGTCTTGAATCTCCCATTAAGGGAAAGTTACCAAAGAAGCCTTCTGTTTCCTATGTGCTTTCCCTTTGTTAAATAAAGCTTTTGAGATTTACAATCTCAGTGTATGTATCTTAGTTTGTAACAAAGCATTTTCATTCAGTTTTAATTTTTGCAACAAAAGTTCAGTACCGTTGTGACTGGTTAGTGAGCATTACTCAGTTGTTTAGAAAGTAAAGCCTTACTATAGTGTTAGTGATCACTTGTTTAGAAAGAAAAGCCTTACTATAGTGTTAGTGATCACTTTATTTTTTAATTTATGTTTTTTTTTAGCAAGAGAATTCCCAAGTTGACTGTTGTTTTAGGGATTTTGAACAAAACTGTTCTAAAGGTTCTTAATTAACCATGGTTTCTTGAATTTAAATCACTCTTGACAACTGAAATTCCTATGGTTCAGTGCAAAGCAGACTACAGAACTGAAAAGGATGGTTCATCATTGACAAATTCAGTATGTTTCAAAGGCTGGGTGAGTGAAAGCAAACTATGTGGAACTAAAATCACTTTCCAAGTTATAAAAATAGATTTTGTTTACTGGAGTACCCAACAAGATCAATGTTGCCAATTTTATAATAATGGATGATAACATCACTACAAGGAGGTACCTGTTTACTTATATTGCCCATAAAAATAAAAATTTTTAGTTAGGTTTTAGATTAATTTCCAGGGCATCTGTGAGAATAGCAACATGAATTTGTACTGACATTTGAAAAGTGTGAAATAGCTCGATTATTTTTAGGTTTATTAAGCTGGGAATTTTCCTATGGATCTGAAGGGGGATGCTTTCCCCTCAAATCTATCTGCATACTTTGTGTACCAACAGGTGATTTAAAGGTGAACTTTTAAAGCTTCTTTAATTTGGGTATGGTTTTTACATTCTGAAAGTTAACTACTTTGTCTCCTCGTCTTGTGAAAAATCTTAGTAGTCCCAGTGGAACTGTCTGAATGTTATTATTTTGATAAGTTAGTGCCTCTTCAAAAGGTGCTAAACCATAAACTGGTCAGAATTCTTTTCCTGGCATTTCATGTTTTACTGTGACTCACTACCACGTGGTTTAGGTAAATAGTGCATAGCACATATTGTTAACAGGTAGGTGATGAACACAGGGATAAACACCAGAGGCCTATTCCTGTGGTTGTTTTGAATAATTTGGTTTTCATCTGGTGTCAAAAAATGTATATAGTTCATTATTTGTTGATCAGGTCTATTTTTCTATGGTGTACATTACTACAGTGGTTTTAGGGCTGCCAGTTCTCACAGAAAACCAGGTACCACGTTTATCAGAGTCCTGACATAGAGAAACACCTGCAATTTTTGATGGATATGGAGAACAGAGACTAGAGTGTGCACTGGCCTGGGTTAGTCTATCGAAGAGCTCTCACAGAATACAGATATTGGAGATCCATGGATCTAGATCTAGCTCCAGAACAGATCTGTTCAGCAGACATCCAGGCACTGAGTCAGGGAACTATGCTGAACTATGCCCTTGCAGCACCTGAGACACAGTTTCTAAGGCAGTCCACTAAAAATACTTCATTAGTTTTGACAATAGAATGTAATGTAGTTGTTTCATTAAAAAATTCCACATATGATGAAGCAACTTCTTTCATTTTTTGGTATTTTTTTTTCCTCTGGAAAATCCCTGACAGTCTTTGCTTAATAGTACATCTGCAGATGCCACATATCAAGATATCACTAGTGTACTGGAACTTGTGGGTGGCTACAGCACAGACTTTCTGCAAGGTATGATAGCGTTGGCAGATGATCAGAGCTCATGTGTCCTGTCTTCACAATATGTTCTTTTTTATTGAGCTAACTACAAATTCAGTGAATGGTTTAGGAATTCAGAAAACCTGCAAGAATCTTAAATTGTCTAAGGTGCCAGTCCTTCACAATCTTGGAGTGTAATTTTTACAGGCGATGTCTCGAACAGTTGAAGCATTAAAGAAATTGATGCTAAATACTACAGTTGAATGGGAGAGATTCCATGTTAAATATTTTCAAGTCTCTCAATGGTTTTAAAATCATTAAAATTCTAAAAGAGGCTTTGGAATGTCTTTTTCCCAATAATTTTCACCTATTTTCCTGGTGGAAATGAGGCTTAGGTGGTCACTTTCATCTGTATCTGGGGGCTCCATGTCTCATAATAACTGGTTTGCAGATTCAACAGGACTACACTCATTTTTGAGAGACTACTTAAGGTTTTATGACATTTGAAGCCAAACAGTGGGAAAAGAGAGATAAAAACTGCATCATGAGCCTAGGTATGATTAGACAAAAAAAAAAAAAAAATCTATTGAGGGAGAGATGCCACTGGAAAAGTTCTGTTTATGGTTTTTGATCAACTCTAAATCCAAGAGAAATGAGACTTCATTAATACCAGTGCTCACAGAAGTGTTACTTTTCAAAGCAAATTGAATCTACATTTAAGTTTGTGTTTTCCTCTAGAGAGTTCATCCTTAGTATTAAACTTCCTCGAACTTTGGTCTGTATTGCAGAAGAAATTTTTATGGAAGCTGTATGTATACTGAATTTTAAAATAGGCAAGTATAGGCAAAATAAAGCATTTAAAGACAACTCATGTTCAGCTTGTCTGTTACATGTTTAGGTTGTGCTATTTCATGTTACTTTGTTTGAATCACAGGAAAATGTGAGTTTTTTTGAGGAAAGAAAAATGTATCCATATTGAGAGAGCTATCTATGCTTTAACTGCCTTTCAAGTCCTATTAAGATTTCTAAAAGATAATGTAGGTGGAACTTGATCGTTATTGATGGTAAGGGTCTTTTATAAACCCCTCTGGAGAAAGTTGCATATAAACCCGTTAGGCTAGTCCATAAATACATTGCAAAATATAGGGGCCACATAATCAACGCAAAGGAAGTACAGATATAACTTCAAATATTTTTGGTGTCAAAAGACACACACAAAATATTTTTATGTATGAAAATACTTATTAGACAAAATAACTTGAAGCAGTGGAATAATTGGCATGTATTCAAATTGTGGTTAATTGAATTCTTCATCTGTGGCTTAGAGAGCCACATGGGGTACAGATTCTGCATAGAGGAAGCAATTTTCATTAACAGGATATAATTTAGAATGAGAAAACATATACACTCTGCCTGAAACACAGCTAATAATTAATATGGAATAAATACATAGACATGCACTGAGTTACCATATTTCTACCTGTCACTCTGTAGAGTTTCAGCAACTCATTTGCATCCTAAGTAAGTATATTTATTCAGAGAGATGACACTGTAACACTACCTTCCAAACTGGAAGACCTTTATGTCACAGCAATGAAAATGAGTCATCCTTGTTATTAAAATGGCAAAGTGAGGTCAGAATGGTGGTTTGATCTCATGCCTACTTACGTCTGAGAAGTCTGCTTGTTTTTGAACTGACACTGTGCTGTTAAAAATCTGATAACCAGTCTCAAATTGATCATTGAGGCTGGTCAGTTTTTCTTAACTCGAACAGAGAAATTAAAACCTCTGAAGAAATAATATTATTTATATTTTGTTTTCTAATGCTCTATAACATTTATCATTTGGTCCCTCACATATGCTGTTAATACTGAGATGTGTTTGCATGCAGAAAGCAAGTTATTTGGAGGATAAAGTTAAAAAGACTGTCTTGCAGGATGTATGAGAGAAAGTATAGGATATCAATGAAGGAAATGGGTGGTTGAAAGCCAACAGCTCCACATGATTCTATCTCTGTCAACAGCTCTCTGCATGACTGTAAGCAGGTTGAGTTACACCTAGTCTTGAAAACAGTGCAGTTTTAGATAAGAAATTCTGTAAATAAGGATCTCAAAATGTGCTTTGGCCTTAGCTCAGGAAAGTTATAAATGGATTTTTAAATCCATCTCATTTTGGGACAATACTTTGACATACACACAACTTAAGGCTTCAATAGAACAGAAAAATATTCCTTAAATTATCCCTTTAATCAAAGCTCAAAACTTCAAATCAATTGTGAGGATATCTCAGCATTTCAGCTGAACCCTGAAGCAGAAACTTAGCAATAGCTTGATGCTTCCGAATATATGCCATTTGCTGCACTGCGCCTGAGCTGAAATGTGACTACAGAACTGTTTCCTGAGGGTGGGCAGCTCCTGGCTGAATTCTTTGTAGGACTCCATATTTTTTCAGTTGGTTGGTATTTATAAATTTTTATCTTCCTCCTTCTAACAATTTGACCAGCGAACAAATCTGCTGTGTAGATCTCTATATGACAGATTTCTATGCATGAGTATAGGAGCATGAGAAAAAGAGGTTTTACTTTTCTTGTTTGGATTTCAGTTAGCAGTCATACGTAAGATAAAGACTCCTGAGAAATCACAAAGGTGGGAATAGATGGTTGACCTACAAGAATGCTTTTTAATCTTATTGGGCTTGCCACATTTCTGTCACAGTGCTATTTAATATTACTGAACTGTTGGGCTATACTTCATATTTTCTTCCCTTTTTAATAACAGGTGGTAACAATCTTGGCAAACATGTCTGTCTTGGACCAGTGTGCTTCAGAAATCATTCAAGGAAATGGTATGTATTTTAGCTGAATTACATTCTGTATTTGCGGAGAATGTGCGTAGATGGGAAAGTAGTGGTTACAAGGCAAAGGAGAAAGGCTTCGTTAATTAGGTGGTTTTGCATCCTATCTCTGCTGGACATCACACACTGCTGCAGGATGCAAAATGAGTGCTTGGGATAGTTCTATGTAGCTGAAATAAATTACCACTGCTTTAGAAAACTTTGTATGTATGACCATACTGCTGATGTTCTCTGTGTGTGTGACATTCATAGACATAAAGCAAGGTAGTACAAAGTGTTTTAGCAAGCTTTGTTTTGGTAATGACATTGCATAAATTGGCAATTCTTACACATTGAAAGATGTCATCTGATCCTGAGCCATGCATACCTGCATTTTGTGCCACTTTTTTTCATATTTAGAAGTAGTATAAATTTTGACACATTATATTTTTATTACTATGCAGATGTTATCAGGTTTTTTCCACACTTCTTTAAATATCATATTATGACAAATTTGTTATATTGAAAAAAAGAAACCCTAGGTGTTACAGGTCCACCAGAAGTCTGAGAAGTTACATTGATAAATCTGTGGATAGGGATAAAGGAAGACATAACTGCCTTATTAATACAGCAAATTCATGGCCAAGAAATATTGTAAGACAGTTTTTAGGGTTTTTTGTTTGTTTGTTTTTTTTTGGTGGAGGAGCTTGGGGAAGGAGCAGGAGATTCTAACTTACAGTGCAGCTTCACATGTTGCTTTTTCTGTCCTAGGAATATCCCATCCAGACTTTTTAAATTAAAGTTTGGGTAGGAATGGTTTGTATTCATTTGAATCTCAGACATGGCTGATTACAGGTGAGAAAGGGTTTCAGAAAGCATCTACATAGATGTGGGTCTTGAAATAGAATTGGCCAATTCTTACGTAATATTGGATTTGGAAACTTCCCGCATTTCAATGGAAACTTTGAGGTCTATGCGCACAAATATGGCTTCAAGGATCAGGCACAACTAATTTGCTTGATGTGATCCATGTGTGCACAGAGGTAGTGTGCATTTGATGTCCTTTTTAAGGTGGATAGGTGTTGAAGTTAGAAACCAAGTGACAATCTTGAGGTTGGATTGATCTGGATACTGAAGAAATTTAATCACAGGTAATTTTGCAAATTACCAGACTTCCCTGTCCCATGCAGAAGACAGTGCAGTGAGGGGGAGGAGCAAGGCAGGTTAGCATGGTGATTTCTTATATGATCTCCTTGTTACATGGGAGGGATGGGCAGCCCCAGAGAGAGGTTGCTCAGGTCCTCATGTTGGTTCCTGCAATGCCTCTGGTCCAAGCTCCCTGTGTTCCTTGACATTAAAGAGCGGGTCCCAGACCTCTTGGTGCAAGCACGTAGGACTTCCTAACCCAGAATATTTTCTAGAAACTGTTAGCAGGACCCTAACATTTCCCAGACAAGACCCTAGGTGCCTGTAATTGTAGAATTGGGTAGAGAATACCCTGTTAGTCTGTTTGACTTGTACTGTTGTTTTCTGATTTGCTGTTAATACCCACAATCCAGACATGCCCTGGAAGCTTTTGCACTCCTTTATGGTTAACAGATTATTTATTTGTTAACCATAAAGTCTATTTCTTTGAGCACACCTAAACCTGTTTTGTTACTGGGGGAACAGGTATGTGGTCATATATTATTTATTTCTACTACGGCAGAAACTTGATTGAAGTTTATAAAATTATACTAACAGCTCTGCCAACTAGGCCTAATTCATGCTAGCTACTGCGCTATGTGGAGGTGTACATATGAATTGTCAAGCACAGTGTGATGAAATAAAGTTTGTGTATGCATTCTATAATGGAAGCTCACACAGAGGCATTTGCCTCCAGGCTTTTGAGAAGGGTTGACACTCATCTTGTGTAGAAAGGCTTTTTGTTTCTGCCTGATGTTGCGGTAATCAGATGCTGGTCAGAAGCCAGATTCACGAACTGAGAAGGATCCTTGAATCCTGGAGAGTTTAGATATATTTTCTTCCCAACTCTGACTTTTTTGTATGTCGATTGATTATTATCTAGCTGCATGATTCTGATGCTAATTCTCTTAATTATGTATGCAAATGTTCTAATTGTTAAAATCCTCTGATGCTACCTGAAGTAATCTGAATGCCTAATAGCATATGGAGTCTAATAGCACATAATTTTCCTTACATTTTAAATAGTCTAGAAAATAGAAATCATCACATTTTCACCTGTTTTTGTGGTGCTACAGTAAGAATATCAACTTCTACAGGCAACAGAAAGTTAATGAAACCATTTTGACATAGATGACTATGGCCTCTGAAGTGAAGAGTTAGTTGCACAGTAAACTCCAAGAAGAATGTCATCATTTCCTTCATTAAAGGATTCTCCATTCTAAAATGCCCTTAAAACATTCTGAGATAGGAACTTTTGAAGGCTTGCTTAAATATGCATAAACTGCGATAGAAAGTTTTGCTTTCCTTTAATTCAACTCAAAATTTCATGTGAACATCTGAAACATTCATATTTTAAAGTTAGTGATTACCTTCAGGTTAGCTTAGAAGTAAATAAAAAATTGCATTTAGTTGACTGAAATAAATTTGTGAAATCTAAAATACCAAATTGTAGAAGAGTCAAGAAGTTAAGAGGGAAGTTAGTGCATTTTCTGGTTCCAGGAATTCTATAACTTCCTACTGAAGGCAAACTTATGCACAGAGCAGATGTGACTGAATGCTGATGGCCAAATTACCATCCATATATATGCTTTTGTCATGCCTTATTTTGTGTGTATTTTACATAGCTTGTTTTTTGCTTTTACCTTTTTGAACTGAGTATTTTTGTTGGAGAGAGGATAACAATGGCTCTTACATCCTTCTAGGTGTTCAACTTTTAATGGAAATGCTCTTTGAAAAGTCATCTTCAGGAAATTCAGCAGAAGTTGCTGCTTGCGAGCGGGTCCAGCAGAAATCTGCAGTTACACTGGCACGACTCAGCCGAGATCCTGAAGTGGCAGATGCAGCTGTAAAACTTAGCTGTAAGGATGTTTCCTAGCTTAATGGCAGACTAAAAAAGAGGGTGGAACTGCCAGTCATTGAGAAGCTCTTTTTTTTTTTTTTAATTTTTAGCCTCCTTTGGTACACTTTCTGCAATAGAAATTACTGTACAATCTGTCCGGAGAGTGACTAAGGAGGTCGCACTAAATGAACCTCTGGCTCATTTCCCAGAGGAACCTGAGGTGCAGCACCCACCCAATACATAGCTGTGGCAGACTATGCCAACTGATAGTGCTGCCTACTCCATTTCTTTATTTAAACCCTTGTGCAGCACCTGTTAGTGGACAGAAAACTTGGACCCCAGCACGTTCGGATGTGATAAACCTGACAAGAAGGAACACATTCTTTTGGCTGGAGTTTTTTCATAGGGAAGAAATGGAGGTCACAACCTCCGCTCTGAAATAGCAATAGTGGGTAAAAACAGTGTATGTATTTATTTATACATTACAACTATTAGTTATGTCTGCTCTGAACTGCATAGCTCTGTGGACAGTCCCTTGAGTATTTAGGTATCATCTTTGCATTAGATATCATATTTGCTAAGAAAGATATATACAAAACATCTAAAGAAAACAAGACTTCATCTCAAAATAAGGACTTTGTTTTCTAAATTATTTCTCCTGATACTCTTGTGCACTCAGGTATTCCTCGCCTAATTAAACTTTGCAGATCACCAACCGAAAGAAACAACAGTGATTCTGTTTTAGTGGCATGTCTGGTAGGTACATTTCAATTTTTATTTCATACTTATCCTGAAAAATGCAGAAAAAAACCAGTCCTTTAGATTTCAAAAGGCATAAGTATTTCAGGAATGAATTCATACTAGTGTCTCTTAATTTTGCCCTGAAATGTAGTCCTGTACGATGTCAGTTACTTATCCCCTGATTGAAGATTTAAGTGCATAAGGAAAAACGGCTTCATCTTCACATTAGTGAGCACTGGAACACTTCAGAATTCAACGTTTCTGTAATTCTTAAATTCCATTCTCTGATGATGATATGTTTGCTGCATTAAGCCTTGAATCACAGGGGTAGCAAGCCCTTTACCTGCATGCACACATATGGATGAAAATATGTAGAGGCCAAAGGACATGTAGAGGAAAGGACATGCCTTGCTTTCACTACAATCCTCCTTTTTATCTATTTGAGCCTCCAAGACAATATAGTGTTCAGCCAAGAAGTGGCCAACAAAAGGTTAACACTTTCTGTGCTTGAGAGAAAGATCCCAGCTGCTGGCTCTGCACTGTATGGACTGTGAGCCCCAGTCACCTCTCAGAGTTGAGTAATTTCATCTAGCATTTTGCAAGACAAAAGTGTTCTGTGGGCATGGGTGATGTAGGGTTAGGAGACAGGCGTTGATGAATGAAGACTGAAGAATATTGTTTGACAGTGCTTGTTTATTTTTAATGTAAAAGTACAAATTTGTTATTGCAGCTTTGATTGACTGCTGACTTTGTACCAGCACATGAGAAGTTTTGCTTGTTTAAGTAGGATTCATTCAGGATGAAGAGAGTATGGGAGCATAAGAAATGCTGTGTTTATTCTCCATACCTGCCAAGAAGGCATGTTAATTGTGTATGGCTACAGCAGAGGCCACAGAGTGATTGCAGCAAACCAGGCTGTGATTTTTCTGTCTCATTGAAGTTGTTGCTGCACATTCCTTGAATTTATGCCTGTCACTTGCGATGCTACCTGCCTGCCTGTGTCACCAGTTCTGCTTCTCCTGATATTTGGTAACTACCTGATGACACTTTCTGATAAACATGTGACACAAACATTGCCCTTGGGACATTAGCTGCTTCAGGCTTTGATAAGTGTTGCTACTAAAGTCTGAGGGATTGTAGTATTTGGTGTTTTTAGCTTAGTTGTTTACTTTTTGTATTCTTTGAAGCAGATAATTAACTCTTGTGTTAGTGCTGCACTGACAACCAGCACAGAGATGAGCTGATTGCAACTATCAGATCTTGCTAATAGAAGCCAATTTTTATTCTTGAGAAAAGCCAGCCTGCTTTTCAGTTGCATGTGTCATGTCAGGTTCCTAGAAGGCATCTAATGGTTGTATATTTTTTACCAGTGAGAAAAAAAAAAAACAAAATGCAACCTTCTTAGAAGGGGAGATTTTATGAAGATAATAGTAACATCAATGTGATTTTTATTGTGCAGCCTCATAATCAGAACAACTGGCAGTTTTATTTGTTCCCAAATGGTTTGAAATTTATGGCTTCTTTCTACTAAACTAGTATCTAAAAGATTTCTGTTACAGGCATTGCGTAAAACTTCAGTAGCAGATGTTTTCTGAATCAGATGGCTTATAGTTCTCATAAATAAGACAAAAGCTGAGAGTTGAGATACAGAGGCAGCATGAGATGTGCAGCAGACTGGAGATAGGTTTACAATCAAAGTGCTCTGACTCTCACCTCTGTGTTCTTTGGCACCATGCTGTCCCTGCTGCTTTGTTCTAAGAGTAATGTGCCCAAAAAGAACTGTCATTTAATAGCTGTATTTGAGGGGAAATTAATCTTGCAGATGAAGACTGTAATGGGAGATCAACAAATCAGAAGAGTCTATAGACTAGCAGCATTCAGTTTTGAGTCTTGGCAATTATTTGGAAATAATTATATGGAGTCCTGCAATGAAGACTTTGTCAAACCTTAACAGTATTACAATTGTGTCATTTTGTTTTTTAGGCAGCCTTACGGAGACTAGCAGTTATGAGTCCTGATGGACTTGAAGATTCAGATTTTCAGCAGCTAGTGAAGCCCAGACTTGTGGATTCCTTTTTGCTATGCACAAATATGGAAGAGAGCTTTGTATAAATGTGAGGCAAAAGCATTTTAAAAATAATCAAGATGATAGGTATACAATGAGATAATACACATACGATCTTATTTAGTTTTAGTTCTGTTGTTATTTATGACTTATTTATTTTAAAACCATAAACATGTGGTTTGTAGGAGCAAAGAAACAGAATGAACGAACTTGTGTCAGTGAGTTGCAAAATTTTTTATTTCATTTTCCTGCCAAGACACATCAAGAAATCTTATTGCTGAGATCTAACAAAATGTTCTTGTCTTGTTTAATATAGTTGAATCAAGGTAACAAAGCCAAGAATTTGGTTCTCTGATGATAAATGCTTCTAATAGCTTTTTGTTGCTGATATTTTTCTACCCTTGGAATATTTTGCAGGTTTTTTTTTCTTGAGAAATGCTTTAGTCTCATGCATTTGCTGCATTAGAATTAAAATAATCATTCAAGCTGATGGTATATACTTTGAAATGAAGGGGATGTTACAGACCAAGTCCAGTTCTTAAATGTTGTTATTTTTTAGTAGAATTATGAAAATATATAACTGTGATTAGCTGAGAGACTTTGTCAGAAAGTTTTCCATACTTGCTTGAAATGATGTTAGAGGACATTCTTACACCATGTAAAGATGGGCTTCATTAGAGCATACACACTTGCAGACAACTCTTTTGTTTACATTTACTGAAATTTCCTAAAGAAATTAAGGGAATCCTAGAAAAATCTTTATGAAATCAAATACACATCATCAATGTGAAGGTATCCACATAAGACTTAAAACTCATTACAAGCTGATAATTTTTCCTTCTTTACAAGCCTTACAAGAAATGGACGTATGTCCAAGTATGTTTTTAATATTCAAGCTACTACTTTTGTGAGTTGCTCATACATACACTAAATAATCAGAACAGATTAATTGCAACTTGCATTTCCATTTTTCTGTTTTTCTAACTAGTCCTGTATTTCTAAAACTGTGAAATGAGACTTTCAGGAGCTCATAAAGTTGACAAATGGAGATTTTACCAATGTATATCAACATAAAGAATAGAATTGATTGTAAAATGCATTTATTTTTTTCATGAACATTCCTCTTTCAGAAAACCGTATAACTTAAAAATTACTCAACCAGCAGTATTTCAGTGTATTTTCCCTCCAGCTTCTCACAAAGCACTCTAGGTTAGGAAAGTATATGTATTTTTTTTTTTTTTGTGATAGCGTGCAACTGTTGCTCTGGATCTTAAAATGATTGTCAACATTAGGGTACCAGGACATCTGCCAAAAACGTAAGTACATTTCTTCTTTACTGTACTTACTTTGTAGATATGCTAACCAGCTTAATTCATTACTGTTTAGTATTAAGTGGTGTTTAGATGAAAGGCACCAGGAAATTGTTAAGCTGTGATTGCCTTCTGCATTTTCTGTGTCTGAGAAATCTGTCCTGCTTCAAGCGGTGAGACATAGTGGCTACTTTATTCTCCCCTTGAACATATGAGTTAAGAAGTTTCTGCCTTAACATTTCTTCCTTGTGATCTTGTCATTTAACTGTGAGCTCTATCTTGACTGAAGTTTTAAACCATTAGAAATGACCTCTGTCATAAGCAGTTACTCAAAGATAAGCTCGGATTCAGATGTTTCACAGATGTAATTTTGTATTAAGAGCAGAGATTAATTCCGCTTTGTTTGCTTACTTTGAGACAGCTCCTTAAACTTCTGTGATTGCTAAAACATATGGTACTATGCAGCTTTAAAAATATTATACTAAGTGATGGACTTTAACAGTTTCCTCACTAAGCCAAAATACACATATGAACCATGAGGCTTTAAATGGTAAAAGCAACATTCTAAGTGTAAACAATGAATGCATAAATCTCATAAAAAAATGAATTCAATAAGGCCCCCTTTCTATCATGCTATAGTGTGATAATTGATAATAGAATACAACATGTCCAATTCTGTTTTGGATGTGCTGTACTGAACTTTGTTCTGATAACTGCAACACCAGAGATATGAATTTGTAGATGTGGCTGGTTTTATCCCATAATATGTAAAGTTAAAATCTCATTTAAAAAAAATGTTCACACATGTAAAATGGACTGAAGTATCTATTAAGAAAATGTCATTATGACCCATAATATTATAAAACCATTTCTAACAGGTCAGTCAAATATTCAGTGAGCAGGCCAGTAGCAATGAATGAGTTTAATTTGCTCTCATTTAGAATAATGTGAATCAACATCAGCTGATTTTGCTACAGATACTCTCAATCTGTAAACGTATGGCCATAATTCTAGGCCCACATTGTCCGTTTACATGCAGACATATTATGTATGTGGCTGTTCACATTACAGAAGCAAAATCCATTGAAGTGGATCTTATATCTGTAGTAGAAAAATATATCTTGAAAAGAGCCAGTTCAAACCTGTTATTACCTGAGTATTCACTTTATTTTTGTATATGCTAAAGTTTATGAGAACTTCCTTTCCTCTTAATAAACTTAGAAATAAAGAGGTATTAAAAATACTGAAATATTATTTTCTCATTACTTTTGAATGAATTCTGGATTAATGTTAATTTTGAATATGAAATTTCAGCTTTATTTTTTTAAAAAAGACAACACAATATTTTAAGCCAGAAAAAACATGTTTGATTTCAAGGTAATATGAACCAAAATATTTCATAACAAAAGATTTTGACTAAAGTATGTTTTTTGGTGGATTGATCTTTGTACTCCCTGTGTATATACATATACAGTTAGTAAAGCAAGATAGAGAGTATGTGTAATACGTTTACATATCAATTCATATATGTGGACTCGTTGAGCTATGGAGATGCATGTAGGTTAGATAATTAGCTGAATCATTCTGAAAACTGAAAGTTATTCTTGTCAGAAATGTTGTAGTTTCATTTAAATTTTTCAGAACACTTTTGAATTTGTATGAGATTAGAAATGTTAGACAAATGTGCAGTGAACAGCGTGATTATTTGTAACTTTAATTTACATTCCTTTGACTTTGGACAGTGTGTTCAAATTTCATCTTCAGAAGTGCTTACAGGTATTAGTGTCCCAGATGTTTCATTCATAGTATAAATTTGTTCTCATTTTATTGTGTGTTTGGTACATGAATCATTTCTGTTGAATGTTACTTGTCTGGCCTGTTCTGTTTAAAATAATGTTTGTATCTACAAGGGTTAAGATATTTACAATGTCTTGGTAAATAAGATGTCTTACCTATTTTTTTTAGGGCTGCCTGCTAGTATGCAAATATACCACTTAGTCTGTAGGGTATCACACTGCCAGGACTGATTCTGGTATTTTGTATGGCTTTTCCAAATATGTATGTTGACCATCTCCTGTGGGGAGTGAAGGCAATAAGATTTGCATGAAGAACAGTTTGGGAATGGGCTCACAGGCCTTGGTGCTTTGACAAGACCTGGGGCAATGAGTTGGGGCGTTGAAGGCCAGATGATGTGGGGGCTGTGAGAAGGTCTGCAGCATTGTGATTGGACTATTTACCTAGAGAGTTTTACAGGGACCAATGAGATTGAATGTTGTATGTATGGGGGTTAAAAAGGGCTTGGTTGTAATAAAGTTGAATTTGAGTCTCTGCATCAACTTGAGTTCGAGTCGTGAAATGCCACAATCTCCTTTTAAATAACAGCAATGAACAGTCAAAATAACATTGACTTTTGTATTTTGAGAAATCTGCTTTGATTTTCAGTTCAAATTTATATTAAATTTACTGTATTTAAGTTAACAATAAACTGTAAATTATTCACTAGTGTTTGCATTTTTAAAGATAGGGAGGGAAGATGACATTGAGCATTGAAAGACAAGTTTAGAGTGAATTTGTTCATTTGAGGTGAAAGCGCTTGGCTGGTGGGAAGGTGGGTGAATAGTTTCAGCCCTTGAAAAGCTGAAGAACCAGGAACAGGGAAAACACAAAGTCATCTATTTTAGATACATACTTTACAGAAATCCTTATCTCTGCTGTCTAGTTTGCTCTTGGGTCTGAGCTCCTCTTTCACTAGCTGTGAAAAATTTCTTCTTGGGAGGGTTTTTTGTACAATTGCTATATTTTTTATATTCAGATACTTTATATCTGAATAGAAAAGAGTTAAATTCTAAGGTATGGTCCTGATAATTATTATATTAACAAGCTTTTGAAGAGAAACTAAATAACAAAAATAGCTGGTTAAATAAATATACTCTAGGTCACCTAGAATAAAAAGAAATATTTATTGTTCCCACAAAGGGGGAAGAAACAGCGTATTCTCCAGAAAACTTGAGAGAAAACATGTATAATAGTCTACTTCCAGGTATTAGTACTTTCATAAGCAGACTTGCTAGGTAAGAGTTTGTGAATTGATCAGTCCCCTGCCAAATAATTACTGAACCTAATAAGGGAAGACCACTAGACCTACTGACAAAACACTGGGAAGTCAAGATTTTCCTATTTCTTTTTAAATATCCAATCAGTGATGTTTTGTTTTAATAATTCAGTTGCACCTAGAACACAATGGAACCTATGAGAAACCAGTGTAAAAAAATTAAAAGGGATCAGGAGACTTAAATGATGTGAAGAAAGAAGTGTTTGCCACCGTACCTTTTCTATCACTGTTGTGATCACTCATGTCACCAATGTCTAGTTGAAAGGTTCACTGCTTGCATCTTTTTTTTCAGACTTTCTGGATATTACCACTGTCTTCTAACCAGCTCTTGTCCACATCCTCCACCACCTTTAGAATGTGACCTAACAATGCACATCTTCAAAGTAACTTCCTAATTTTGGTGTATATAAAAATTTAGTCTGATCTTTTTATAATATACCACATAACATAAAAATCTTTTTGAAGATATTAGAAGGATATAACTAACAAGATATGTTAACTATTTATGCTCATCAGGTAAGGCAAAATTTAGGATAAATAGAGAAGATATGTCAAAAAAGATCTACAAAGGTATGTCAAAAAAGATCTACAAAGGTATATCAAAAAAGAGCCATATGTGTTTTCACTTGCACCAAAGGAATAATTCTGGAATAGGACTGAATCATCCAGGGATACCTTCTTTAAAACCATGATAACTCAGCGTGCCTACACTGTAAAAAAAGAAGCTAACCAGAGCTTAGAGCCAGAGCTAATCCGCAGGTTTCAAGATTCCTACTAGAATTAGAACTGTAGAGATATAACTCATGAAGTAAAAGAAATAAGATCTCACAATATGAAGCTAAGGATAAATTACTTCCAAAATTTTGTAATAAATGCAAACATATGCTTTGTACATTAAGCAATGTGCTTGTCAACACATTTGCTTCCATTTGCAAAGCAAGGTACAATGCCCTTTGTTCATGGCATTTTAGTTTTGTACTGCCTGATTATTAAAAAGGCTACACTTCTTTTGAGAGCAGCAATTATTACAAATCAGTGATTTAAAAACTTCAGCCCATCCTTACAGATGGATCAACAGGGAAGTGGCTAAATACCATGAATCACAGGTGGTCATTTCCATGAGTGTCTAAAACTTTGTGGAATAAGATAGCCTACTTACTGGTTTAGAATATCTAGTAGAAGAAATCTATTGTGTACTTTAGGGGAGGGGAATTCTTACCTGTTTTGAAGGTCTGTAAGTATAGTCCAAAGCAGTAAGTTTGGTGCTTTCTGTAGACCACACCATAAAGTGGGCAATTCTTTCTCTTTGAGGATGACTGTCCTAGACAGAAAGCATACATAACACCGCTGAGCTACTGTCCTGGGTTCAGCAGTAGCAGTCATGTTTTTTCCTTTGTGTTAGCTGGTGCAGTGCTGTGTTTTGACTTCTA